GGCTTGTTTTACAACGTCGTTGCCAAGCGACGAAAACCCAACCCCGATGGCAAACACCGGGGGGGGGAGGGGGGGAGGGTAATTCTCGTTTACTCCGCGATTGACAGCGGTGGAACAGAGCGAGGGTCTTCGAGAGGAAGGCCAACTCACCATGGGTCTCGGTCTTTCACGTCCTACCGAACCACGCTCGTAATCTGTGCTCCTGGCAAAGGGCACCAAAGCCCCCCCTCTGCAACGCGGTGTTTGACATTTTTTTTTTGTCTTCACTTCAGATCAGCACCCACAGCATCTTGTACACATTCATTCCTCACCACTCCTGCCCTGTCAAAAACACCTCCTCCTCACCTCGGCCACCTCTGCCTCCATGCCGAAATGCTGCGGGAAAACGTACTCGGGGACCGCATCCGGCAGGTTGGCGTAGTCCACGAAGAGGGCCTTGGACGGTGTCTCCTTCTCCGCCGCCAGCGCGAAGGCGCACATGGCCTGCGTCCGAGGGACGGTGTGCAAGGGCGAAAGGGTGTATGCATACGTACCGGCACACGGCGTACTGCAGTACTGGCATATGCATACGGCATACTACAGTACCGGCATAGGACGTGCTGACTGCCTGGGAGAAGAAAGGCGCAAAATGCAGCGGCGACAGCGGACTACAGACACCTACGCCCGCAGAGCCGCGAGAGAAGAGAGAACAGCCACGGCCGCGACACACTAGAACACGACCAACTACGGCTCAACCCACACCGCCAGTGGCCTCCACGGCCTCTCTTGGCACCCCGAACGGTACTGAAACATATGTAGTACCGCCATATTTGTTTCCACCTTTTCTTCCCCACGACGGCAGATCACGATCGACCACGGCTCGGCCCACACGGCTAGTAGCCTTCACAGTCTCTTTCGACACTCCGAACGTTACCAGATAATGGCTGAAGAATAGTGAGCCATATTTTGTTTGCTGGCAAGCGTTTTCTCTCCACCATTTTAACAACGCGCCGTCGTCTCGAAAACGCGTCTTTGATGGTCCAGCAGCAAAGGCAAGGGAAACACGAGTATGCCCCCACCGATTCGAGAACGACACGCCCCGACTGACCCGAACAGCCGCTAGAGCAGGGAACAACCACCTCGTTGTGGACACTTCGACCACGTCTGGAGTGGCGTCACGTCATCGGTTGCTCATGTCGGCCCGTTCAAGTTGAAAAAAAAAAAAAAACCTCCTTACCGTTGATTGGACTTTCTCCCAACGTGCACCCAACTCACCTGCAACCAATCAGCGCACTCCATCGTCATGTTCATGGTCAGCATTAGCCCCGTGTTCTTTTTGGCGAGCGATCTTCGCCCCTCTTCTACACCGAACGCGGCAGATTCCCAAGGCGACGGCTCAAATAGGGCGGCAGAAGAATACACCGCCGGATACAACGGCAAGTCGGACGACTCGATACCCCCGCTGATGCCACCGCTCCAAGAAACGCTGGCGTAGAAGTCGCTGTCCCCGTCCTCCACCTCCTCTTCCTCGTTCTCCTCCCACACGACGATGCCGGTATCAATTTCGGAGAAGGCATCTCCCCCACTCACTCCCCCACCCCCCGCCATCCCGTCCGAAGTCGCCGTCACCCCCTCCCCTAGTTCACTTCCGCCGAGCACCACCGCCGCCTCGACAAGACTCCGCGACCTCTTTCCCCCTCCGCGCACCTCCTCAGGCTCACGCCCCGAGGGCTCACGCCCCCGCCCCCGCCCTCGCCCGAACTTCGGCCTCGTCTCCCTCAGAGCGACAACGTCCCGCACCCCCTTCGACTTCAGCATCGCGGGTTCTCCCCCCCCTCCAAGATTCTTAAACTTCCTGCTGGCCTGCTTCCTCAGCTTCTCTTGCCTGGGGATACGGACGCACGGGGCCCCGGCGTAGGACTTGAGGTTGGAAACCATCACCTCCACGGGGTCACGGAAGACGAAGACCCACGGAACCTCGGGGTAGGCCTCGGAGATCTGCGACACGAATCTGCGGAGCGCGAAAAAAAGTAAAGCACGAGTTATGACATATTGAAACCTACATTTCGGAATTTTTCCTGGATGTGGAGAGTGAACATGCGGCCCATTTGTTTTCGAAGGTCAGCCTCTATTTAAAAAAAAAAACTTACTTTCGGTACGTTATCTGGACGAGGAGCGTGAAAAAAAGGCGATAGTGTAGACCCATATATATTTAGACGTCCAGTCTCTTCGTAGTTCGGTACGCTATCCGTGCGCGGAGAGTCGAAATGGAGTTGGAACGATACGTATTTCTGAACATCAGTCTTTCGTTTGAAACTAAGTTTCCGTAGGGGTTACTCGACGCATCAGGCGGTTAGGGTCACACAGAAAGAAGGTCACACAAGGGCGTTTTGCACATGACAAGTGCGCTTCGCATGCAGAACGAGCCCGCTCTTGGAGAAAGTCTCATACGGCCACAAGGGTCGCTGCTTCCGTTCTCTGTGGGGCAACTCAACGACGACGATTTGGTGCAGTATGCTTGGCTGAGCACCTGATCATGTGACCAACTTCCAAAGATATAGTTTTACGCTGGTTTTGCCTCGATGCGAAAAAAATTAGGCAAGTGCGTGCCGTAGTTCATGTACCATAGGTATTAATGCACAATACTTGCTTCGAGTTCTGGAACTTGAAATAGAGGTGCTCGTGCTGCTCCCCGTTTCTTCTCCTGCCCATTAACGCCACCGTGTTGCGGAACATCTTCACCAGGAGGTGTCGATCGCACCCCGCCGTCTGGCACTCACGGATGGTCTGCAGAACGGACGACAAACAACAAACGATCATCCCAACAGCAGCTGCACGATCTTGTAGGAAATGATGCTACGCATACATTCACAGAACGGCTATTATGCATATCCGCTCGAGAGCATTGGACGGGATGTGATGATACTAGTCTTGCAGAAAGCAGAACTGTACTGGACTAATGTTGAATCTATGTAATCAGTGGTGCTAGCTCGCATGGAAGCATTTAGCTGGAGGCAACGAGTACAAACTGCCCTACTTTATCGCCCATACAAGCATGCCACGCGTAGGGCATTTTTGTAAACAAAACACAGTCACGTATCCCCGATTTAGTCTCAAACCCCTGTCAGGTATTCCCTACTGTACGTATCGGGGGGACGCCTGCTAGAACTTTCAGACGAGCAACAGAGCCCGCTCGGCAAAGTGCATGATCAAGCCGCATTTCCGCACTGGGAACATCATCCAATTGCAAAGCCCTCTCATTACTTAGATTCGTTTCGAGGACAACCGTTTCACAGAACTACTCCAACGATGGTTCAAGGAACGACCCCAAAGCAACCGTTTCGAGCAAAACCTACGGGGTAACTGCCTCCAACTACCCCGACCAACGGCATGCAACTTCCCACCGCCACGGGTGCGCACACACTCGAAACAAATCGACCCTTCCAAACACCCACCTGTGAGGGCGGCTTAGACTCGGAGAAGACGCGGCTGGGCGCTAGCGTGGCCAGCATGTTCGCCACAAGGGTTGAGCCGCAGCGCGTCTCGTGGTAGATGAACCCCTTTGGGGGCAGCGGGGCCCTTCCGTCGTCCGCCATCGATTTCTGACGGTCACACGACAGACAGGCAGGCATCGCGCCGCGCGGGTGCTTTTCAGACAGAAGCGAAACCACGATCGTGGCGGCGATCGTGGCGGCCGCAAAAAAAACGGAGAAATATATATATATGAATATCTACACGGAGGTGGGAGAGATAAAATACGAAATCGGCAACGGCCTACGATGGTGTGTGGTCGTTCGAGGGTTCTGAGGCTGCGGCTTTGACCTGGGGGGGGGGCAGCTAGCGCGTCGACGGAGGTCACGAGAAAGCAAACCCGCACCCTCACATAGGGATGCGCGACACACGCCATGCACCAAGTCTCAAGCATCTGTTCAGCCGCACACGAACGTTCCACCCCCCCCGCCCCGTTCCCTCTCACCAACAGCGACGACATCCGAACGACCGCGACCAATCCGAAGGAGATACTGTCGTCCTTTCGCTTGTTGCCGCACTTGGAGTACGTGGACAGGTACGAGAACATCGGAGTGCCCGAGGGGTTTCCCTGTACGTGCGGATGACCGCCCCCCCCCATGTCACAGCGGAATATAGTCGGCACGGCCAGACGGAGCGATGAGAGAAATACAGACAGCGGGAGAGAGAGAGAGAGAGAGAGAGACGATCAGGGAAGTCGAAGCGTGGTACGCGGCACTTAAAGGAACGCCAATCGATCCATCTTGTGTGGTTCGGAGTGCTGCCCATCGACAAGCACGGGCACAACGGCAGCAAAACACACTTTTCGGTAGAGGGCCTCGCCAAATACTGACAGCTTTTCTTTGCCGCTGTTGGTCGGGTAGGGAGGCCAAGACGCCGCAAAAAAAAAGAAAACTCTCGCAGGCGTTAATCAATGCTGGTGGTACAAGAGTAATTGTCTTCTCCTCTTGCCAGTACTCTGAATCTGGAGACTAGACCCTGTCGTCCGATCTCCTCTGCCCCCCCCCGAACCCGCTGACTAGAAAGCATGTTCGCGTTCATATCCCGTACAAGCTGACATATTTTCGGCGGATAGCACGGCCGAAGCTACTTAAAAAACAAACACACACATATTAGGAGCTTCCGTCCAAGGCAGAATGGGACGAAAATAAATCTCAGTTCGCCTGCCCTCGGGCCGATTGTGTCAGCAGTTGCTTCCAACGCGGTGCTCCCCGGCGATAGACCGATAACCGGCGCTGTGAGAATTCCAGGTGAAAAGCGTGGTATTTTCGTCGTCGAGGACAACTGTTCATGTATAGATAGATAGAAGAAGCCACTTCGCACGTCGATGGAGACGCCGTGCGATTGCAAGTCAAGGTCTGCTCGAGATATGTTTCAGACAGAATGGATGTTCGTATCTTTTTGTAACAACAACAACAACGACGACGACGACGACAAACGCACCTGGTAGTGCTCGTAATCGATGAGGCACATGGTTACCCACGGGTCCCCCGTTGCCACGTCGCGCAGCGCAATGGGAAGCCACATGGAGCCCGGCACAGCGTCCTCAGTAGAAAAGTCCAACGATTCCGATGTCTTGACTCTAATCTGTCCCACCTGGCCAAGCATTGTACACAGGCATGCACGAGCGCCGGGGGGGTAAGCATACACTCTCCCTCGTCCTACGTCCGCTTTGAAATCGTTGACCACGATGCCAGTTGAGTCAATTGGAGCGATCTGCTTGAGCTCCGTCGACCTAACGACGTCATTCCCGTGTCACTCTCCAAGACCCGCCGATCGCGTCACCCGCGCGGGTCTAATCCTGCAATCAATCGTTTCCACTTGGAACGAACCGGTTGAAACGATGGATCATGCCACTGACTGGGGGAGGGAACGCGCCACGGCTTGACGGCAAATTGGTAACAGGCTCCGCTGATTCGTGAATCGCACTTAACAACGCTGACCAAATCGAAGGTATGCTAGAAACGTGTGATGTGTGTGGGTTGTCTAGTCTATGTACATCAACAACGAGACCATAACTCGCCACCCAGCGACAAGGGATACCCCTTCCCAACGTCGACAATACGCGGGCGCACCCAGCTGTAGTCATAACACTGGCGTGCTTACCATTCTGCTGGTTGCGCCGACTTGACAAGAGGAGACATTAAGCCCTGCCCATTGTTCATGCTTTCACCGGGAGATAAAAAAAAAAAAGCCAGAAGAGCTCATGTTTCATGCAGCTGGAGGCTTACTCGCCATCACATAGCGTCTACCGTGGCTACTTGATGTAGGGCACTCGCTCGCCAACGTCGCCACGTCATCATCACCCACCACCCCCACGACTTGCCAAGACTAACTAAACCTCACCCCGAACAAGATACAAAGCCAATGGGGGCGAAACACGCCGCACTCTCTACCCCTGCCGCAACCTGCCGCGAATGGCACATAGCCCCCCCCCCCCCCCCCC